ATATCTTTTTCAAGATCTTTAGGTTCTGCATAACAAAATGGAGCTGGATCTTTTAGAAGTTCGCGATAGTGAATGTTGAGACGTTTGACAAAAGTCATGTGGACAAGATCGGGAATAATCTAAAAGAGATGATTATTGACAACAAAAAATAATTAAACGAAAATCCACTGAAACGTCTATGTAAAACGTCAAAAGTGTGTGGTTCCATCGGTCGTGGAAAAAAAAACCAAGATTTTTCGGTGAAATGGTGAATAAAATAATGTAAGTTGAGTTGACGATTGCATATGATTTATATGCATGAAGAAAAGAAAAAAACCCAGTGTGCGCAATTTGTTTTTATTTCTTTATCTGGAAAAAGCCAACATATGATTCACACATTGTAGAAGATTGTATTGACAAAGTTTACCAAATACTTCAAGTGACGAATAAATTTGTGGAGAATTATGCATTTTCTTTGAAAGAGGTAGGAAGTTCATGTAATAGACAGTACCAACATTGTGCTCTTTTCTTCCTTCTTGACTCATTTCTCTATTTGAGAGTGTGGGTGCAGGTGAGTATCTTTGAGAAAGATCATACACACACCCACACCTACACCTTCAAACTACACGCAACATGTCATAACAATGAGTCACAAAGGTAGTCATCAATGTTATGCTCTCTGATATCTTTAACTAATCAATAATAAATATGATAGATGGCGTGTCTCACTGAAATACGTAGTAATAATAGTCAGATTAGTAATAAGATATTAAAAGATCTACACAAATATTCTCTTCTATGTATAGCATATGGAGTTATATTTTATTTTGTATGAGAAAAAATGAAGATAATAATGTTGGAGTATAGAAGATTGATATGAATGTAGAAGAGGTGTAATTTCAATGCGGCGTATATATTTATTTTCCCAGGATTAGCAAATAAAAATATAATAAAAAAAACGAAGACAAAATCAATATAGTTTGCCAAAAACTATCCTATTCCCAATATACTTGATATTCATACTGACCAGAATTGATATAAACTATCATCACACCAGTTTCGACTTCATTTTCGATATTATGTCTTTCAGTCAAGAGTTTCGGATCTATCGGCCAAATTACTTCATTGCCTTCGATTAATCGGACGCATCGAGCTCCGGAAAATAATGGTTCAAATATAACTCGAGCTTGTGTATTGGCTGGAATAGTCAAACGAAATCGAATCGAATTCGATACCAAGTCCGGTTCATCACGAGTATATGCTACATGAACAAGACCATGTAAAGTGCTCAATTGACAATCAACTTTGCGTAAAAGATGTTTTTTACTCTCAGACGCCATGCGTGGTCGAATAACAATTGTGTTCGAAGTAAATTCAATACCTGCTAAATGAGAATAGAACCAAGCACCGATACTTCCGTACATGATATGATTTCGTGAATTCATTTCTGGTCCTTCGAACGGTGCATTCCAAATCTCCCAGAGAGCTGTAGCATTCTCATATGGATTATTGGACATGTAACCATAGGATGGATAAGTAATAGATGATATTAATTCAAGAGCTAAATCATGATATCCATTATCAGATAGAAGTGGATAGAGCTGAGCCGTGCCAATAATTCCTGTTGCGACATGATTATTTTTTTGAGTAATGTCAGATACTAGATGTTCAAGCACGAGACTACGAATATTGCTCGGTACGACGTTTGGAAGAGCTAGTGCAAGTATTTGTGATGTTTGAGTCCCATCAGCATAGAAATGAGATGTACTATTGAAAAATACTCGATGAAATTCTTCGGCTAATTGTTGGTATAATTCCATATAATTATGTGTATCATTGGTATAACCGAGGATTTGAGACATATTGATCAACAATGAAATATCATGCATAAATGCAAATGATGAAGTAAGAGATTCATTTGCTCTTGGTTGAGGTGCAGGTGGAACCCAGTCACCATAGCTGTAAAAAAGATTGGCTAAACCTGTCGATTTGTAAGCATTATAAACGCTTTCTACATATAAGCGAATGTTTGAATAAAAACTAGAGAGTATTTGAACATCATTATAGTGACGATAAAGTTGCCAAGCGATAGTTGGTAGAGCAGTACCCCAATTAGGATCAGCTGGAAAATCTCCATCGCTGAACGGTACTGTATCAGGTACAGCACCGTCAGTTCCTTGAGTATTCACAATCGAATGAAGAAAATTGATATATAATTTAATTAAATCAAAATTGTACAACGCTTCATTAACCGTCAATGCTGCATCACCCAACCATCCTTTTCGTTCTTCACGTTGAGGACTAATTAGAAAAAGAAACTCAATAGACGAAAATATCAATGATCCATTATTCTTACCAATCTGTAGGCAATGACATAAGATTATTCAATTGACTCCATTGAATATTATGCTGAATTTGATTGATTATTGGATTACTTGAAATAAAATGACCTTTTAATGTTGTCTCACTATGAACAACAAGACATTCGACATCGTCGACAGTCATAGAATTCGGTGCGTTAATGATGGAAACATAGCGAAAGCCATGATAAGTGAAACTAGTACAAAAGAGAAAATTAAAGAATATAAAAACAACTAACATACGTTGGTTCGTAAATTTCACCGGCTGGATCTCCATGTAGTACATAGGTATCCGATTGAGTGGCACCAAGGAGATTTTCAGTATAGACTTCCCCATATGAACGACTAAATATAATCATAAACATGAAACATAATGACAATTACTTACTTCGTAGTGGCAATTGACGGAGTCAAAATTTCTCCATGACGAATATAAACGCCTACACCACGTGCACCGTAAAATCTAAAACGACACCACCCAGCCATATTTTGAGCCAAATCGAATACTTGAACACCTATTACATGATTATATAATAGCAATAATATTTTTATCTATAAAATTCAATTACCTATAGTTGGTGACCATACTGCAATTGGTTTTAGTATACCACCATCAGTTAACATAGCACCTTGGATATGACCAATATCATTAGCTGACAAATATCCACCGATCAGTGTAGAAGTTACTTCAAAATGTAATGCATCAGATCCAGCACGAATTGGTGGCATATCTTGCATGACAACTTGACCATGTAATGATTCATTGATTGGAGATGACATCAATTCTGCTGGTATCCATAATGAGAGTAAATCAGTGAATCCTACTCGAGACCAATTGAGACGATCACTGCGACTATCAACAAATTCTCCATTGTAGATACTATCATGTAAAATACTATTTTGACGACCTATCCAAGTCGAATCACTGTAGACATGCATTTCCTCACCGTTATCAAATAATATTTGCAAAAAGAAGATGAAACGAGGAGGACCTGAAAAAAGTCTGAACATGTAGATAATGCATTTTCTTGAGTAAAGTTAATTAGAGGAGGAGTATGTCTGTCATTCTTCTCCTTTTCTTATGAAAATTCTATTTACCATAGTTTGGTTCGGGTGCTACTGGAGGTGTGTATTGTTCTTGACCGTACCAACCATTACCTAATCTAACACCTACGGCATTCATACCAGACTAAATTTAACACAGAATGAATTTGTTGTATCAAAAATCATTTTATACAAACTTTGATAGTCGCCGATAGATCAAACGAAACTAATAATGTACGTTTTTCATAAACTGTCCAGCCTGGATCTAATTTACGACTTATATCTACTTTATCTCCATTTACATACAGTTCATAATAACCAAGTCCGGATATGTAAACTACAGCTGATTGAATTGGACTACTATTCGATATTTGAAATTCTTTACGTAATTCATTCATATTGATCTGATTTGAACCGATCCACATTAGACTATCATTTTTGCTCAGTATATATGAATGAATATTAAACATAAATGTTCGAAAATGTATCCAATTTGTCCATGGACTTGTTTGATTCGATTGTGTTGTCCAAATTCGCAAACGGAATTGATAAAAAGTGGCTGATTGCAGATCATCGAATCCCATATAAGATACATGAATTGAGTGACTTGACATCACTTGTTTGCTATCCCATTGATCGTTACGTGATTTTATTTGTAGTTGATAGGCTACTTGTAATACATTTCGTTCTGTTTCCAACATTGCTATTTTCCATGAAAATCGAGGACGTGCAGTATTGATTATTAGATCTTTTGTTGTATCAACTTTATAATGATCCACACGGATATCGTATGGAGCAGTAGGCAGTCGAGATGCAGAATTTGCTGCGATGCAAGCAACAACAAGTATATAATAACAAAACATGTTGATTGAAAGAAGAAGAAAAATAAGAATGTTTGTCAAGCAACTTACTGTTATTTATATATGTCCACAATCATCTTATCGTTTCTATCTTACCTGAATCGGTATTATACTTCTTCATGGAGGACGTACAAAATTCTTACCCAGCAGAATTTTACATAAGGTACAAGATTCTGAATTCTGCTGACTAAGAATTTTGCAACTGCTGTCGAATACACAACATTTCTAGTGAAAACTCCCATAGAACTCCGAATTGTTGAGATCGGCTCCCAACTGAACATATTCAATTGATAATAACTGTCAGATATCTTCATTTGTAGAGATACGTTTGCTTGTCAAATTTATCTGTTTTTATTTTATTTTTAGAATTACATTGTATCGATAATTCAGTGTAATATATCCCTCAGAAGACTTTGATTCAAAAATAAATATACTAAATTAACAGCATGTAGTCGTATTTTCCGTTTTATTTTGTCACAAAGGAAAAGATAACAATGTACTCGTTGATATATGACGTATTCTCTTTATTTTAGAAAAAGTAAAAAAACAGAATTACACAATAAAAAAATGTATTATCATTCTGTAATATTCGCAATAGCACATTTCTTTTTTGAATGTTCTTTCCAACGAAGATTTATTTCAACAAATGCATAACACAACATACTAATGGATAAATAAACAAGAAGAAGAATAAGAGAAATTCGAATAGTTACATAACTGGAATACTACAAAAACAAAATAATGTAATTATTCATTTGAATTTCTATATATCAAAACTTACAGTATAAGTTATTACAAAACCAATTGATTTCCATAAGCGATATTTTGCTAAAGCATTTGAATCAGTTTCCGAATAAAGAACTGTATAAGTAGCTAAAATATAGAGAAATATTATGTTCAATTACTTTCACGCATGATAAGTATATTTTCATACCAATAACTTGTGTTTGCCAAATTGCATCTGCAATTCCCCAAAATCCAGCAATTACAAATAATAAAACCATTTGACTTGATTTTGGATCCCAAAGAAACATTAATATAATCATAGCATAATTAATTAAAGCAGCAATAATGAATATAAATATTCTTCCTGTATATTTAACAAGACGTCCAACAATATAACTACTCAATGCTTGACATATTCCATTACATACCATAACAAGTCCAACATAGCTATACGAAAGTTTATAATTTTAAAAACAAAAAAAATAATATTTACCGAATACCAATAAGACAAGTTATAAAAGCCTAATGTAAAAGAAATATATCAATATTTTTAGTAAAATAGATTTATTTACTCGAGTAAATTGTGCTGTTAAAAAAGCTGTTTCAATTGTTGTCCACATTGTAATTGGCATGAGAAGAAATTGATCAATATGTTTCCATTCTTTTAGTGATAAAAGAACTTCAAGACTTTTTCTTAATAATTGTTTCATAGTTTCTAAATAATACAAACAAAAAATATCCAATTAAAAGAAAAAATTCTTTCGCACGCTTTTGAGTTAATGCAATTGGATCAAGTGCTAGAAATAAGAGTAACATTGATAATAAACCCATTCCAGTAAATATTCCACAAAGAATATAACGCTTTTAAAAAATAAAATGCGACTAATTGATTTTATTTAAAAGGTATAATATTTTACTGTTGTATCATCTACATTTTGAGTTCTATTTGTTGGTGAAGCTAATTTAGGATTAAAATGAATTCCACAATTAATTTTTTGTGCACCACCAGATTGATTAAGTACAAAATATGATATTAGATTACCCCAAATTGTATTTGTACCAAATAGTGCAAAAAATATACCAAAAAATAAACTAACTGATATTTCATGCGCTTGATTTTTATGCTGGGAATGATAACGAGCTATTTGATTAAGATATGTAGCTTTTGCTGTCCATAATGGAGCACCAGCTGACCCAACAAGAGTTGCACCTGAAAGAAACACAATATTAAGGTTGTAAGATATGCCTTTCGGTTAACGAGTTGTATATCACAACAGAAATTTAAAAAAATATTCTTTAAATCACGATAGAGAGTTTTTACTATGAATATTTGTATATAGAAAAGTATATATCGGCACTTCACAATAAAAGTGTCCATGTTTAATGATTGAGATAAGAAAAAAAATGATTTCATAATGTTCCTATAACTTTCATACTGAAAATATAAAACAGAAATTCTGCTATAAAATACTTGAAGATAAAAACGAAAATAATTTTCAATTATCTCTTACTGATATACATAAGTACTGGTAAAGGTTTTATATTAGCAGCTATATAAAATATATAACCAATTGCAGCAATAATTATCGCATATTTAAGACCAAATAAATCCATACAAACACCAATAAGAACTAAAGAACTAAACTAATATAAATGAAAATTTATTGTTAAATAAAAATTTGTTTCAAAAGTTAATTTACTTACGATAAAAAACGAATAAGTTATAATCAAAGAATTAACACCAATATTATTTTTTGTATTTAAACTTGATTGAAGTGTTACCATACCATTATAAGCCGTAAATAAAAGAACAAAAGAGATAGACAGTACTAGTAAATTTTTATAAATTTTTTGAATTGAAAATATTGGTATTGTATTATTTGCAATAGTTTGTTGATTATCAAATGTTGTAGATTTTGATAGATCTATAGTTGCAATAGCTGCATTAGTTTGATCTTCACTAGTTGAACTAATACGAGATAATTTTCGAGGTAATGTGTTAAGTTCATCTATATTATTGTCGATCATTTTGATTTTGATTTTATTCACTAAAACAAAAGATGTGATGAATATATGTCTGATAACATCAAAAAAAGAAAGAAAGAAAAAGAAAATAAAACTATTATTGGTATTAACTTGATGTAGATGTTGATCATAAAAGAACAGAATAAATACCTATGCTTTTATTTTATTCTGAATACAAAACTTTCTTGATTCTATATTAAATACTTCAGATTTTATTTTATAAATAGTGAAAGGAAAGATAATACAAGAAGGATATTTATGTACAATTCTTGATTAATTTTCAGTTGAAATTAAGCTGGTAATTTGGTCAACGTCAATACATTTTGAGAGAGTGGATGTATACGACTCACACCCACCCCAGAGGTGTAAATGCCTGTAAGGAAGTCTCAAATCAATGGCAATTGTTGAGTAATGAATTCAGCATACTGTATGATTACACATTTACGAAGATTTAGTGTAGGAAGCAACTGCATGAAATAAAAACTCGAATTATTTGAAATAATTATCATCTTTTTTCGAAAACTTATTTGTTGGTTTTTATGTACAGAAGTACAAGAATGCAAATACAATTTGTGCTGTCATTTGCCAATTGAATTCTTGTAAGCTTATGAGTGGGTGTGGGTGTGAAGAGTGAGAGTATGGGTACAAGAATAAGAGAGAAGACATCACACCCACACCCATCTATTACCGAAAGTGAATGTGAGTATTTACTAGGTCTCTTATTCACATTTCCATCTTCAAGACGACAATTTTTGACTGATAGATATACGCAAATTTTAAAACATATTTTCAATATAAAACAAACTTTTCTCTACTTTATACACATTTTATTTCAATTTCTTTATTATACAAATTCGATTTGAAATCTTTTTATATATATACAGTGACGAGTCTCGAATCATAAGTAGGTGATGAAATATTTCTTTTCAGATAACATATTGAAGTAGTTCCACCTCCCGTAGGTAAAACCCATGCATATGCAACACAACTACTGTTGCTTTGACACCACCGACAACAATCTGAGTAATTAAGAGTACTTGAAATATCCATATCATTACCATACAAATCATATCCAATAAGAACGGTCATATTACCACATGCATAAGAACTCGGATTTAATGCTAGAAATATATGTATAGTCGTAAGGGATAGAAAAAAAGGCAAATTATACTTACATATATCATAATCAATAGACATCGTTTCAGTATTTGATAAGGATGATGGCAATGCTATTGAAAAAAATGAGAAAAAATATCCACGTTGAAAATTAGAATATGATTTGGAGTGGTTTATTTTATTTATGACTTACTTGTAGTTGTCTCTGTTGATATATCATTCATTAATGCAATTATAGTTGGTGGTATCTCGAAAAAATAAAAATCGCTTGTTGAATTCCATTCAATAGAATAATTTGCTGAATAATTCGAATAGAATTGACATGAATATATGTTTAGCAGACAATTCATTGCAACGAAATTAGGTGTTGTTGAACTAATTCCATAACATAAACATTCTTCACAACTATTTGTGTAAGACAATAAAATTGGTGGATTACTCAATGAAGGCAATGGAATGTATATTCGAGAAGATAATTTTCTAATTATAATACTCGAATTGAAAAGAAAGATATTATGAACAACGACAAGCAAGATCAGTCTCAAGCCAAGCATGATGAAAAATAAATGCACTTTATACTTTCACCTTTCTTCTCGTATATTTTTTAAATAAATTGCGTAAAACAATATACATCGTTTATAAAAAGACATTTATATATGAAGAGAGTAAAACGTGACAATGCACTTTTATTTTAAATAATGGAATACTTTTTTCTTCTATTTTATCAATTATGAATAGCAGAAGTGGATAAAAGCATCCATCAAAATACAAGTTTTTTTTCAAAGTTCAACTGGCAAAAAATGCAGAATATATCGTCAACAATTTTTCGGAAAAAGAATCTTAGCGAATTAGGTAGTTATCCAATCTTGAGAAGAAATATCTCAGTAGTTTTCAATATAATATACTTCAAAATTCAAAAGTAGATAAAATATCAGTTTCGTGTTGAATATTATTTTTACAATCTTGTTATACTAAAGTATTTATTAAGAACGGAGTGTATGAAATAACATTTATATATTACTTTGAATTTAGAACGAGAATAGATAAAGAAAAAATGAATCCATACGTAATGACTTGGACTGAAATTCAGTTTCGACAATAAACCGAACCGTGCCTATCTAAAAGCATTTTTTCATTATAGTTATCAACTGATTTTAGTCTTCAACTCATTTGGATTAGATTCATCATCTAACAAAAAACATCAATTATACTCATCTCTGAGATGTACAATTAGATGAGAATACTTTTGATAAGTATGTAAGTGAATGCTGGGCTCTTTCTTCTTCTACATTTTCACTCGATCAAAGCACATCTTTGCACTTCAAGTTCATGTCTTTCTCATTTGCATTTTTTCTTCAGAAAAATAAAGAGATATTTTTTGCTTTGTACCTTATGACACAATTGATTTGTTTTCAAATCAAGTGAAATTAAAAAAAAAACTATTTTATTATTTGATTTCTTCTTTCATTTTTTTAATAGAATATGGAAAAGATTAGGATTACATTATTGTTGCTGCAAAAAATAATTATATAGAACCTCATTTATTGGATTATCACAATGCTATGATACATTTACTGCTTTAGAAATCTCTACAGTTCTTGTATAATTAACATATGAGATACTAAAAAGGAACCTTTAGCTGTCCATTGGCACGTTTTTCGTCTGTCATTATAAAATAGAGATGATTATTAGCCATTTTTCATCGTATATGGATGAGTATGCATAATTTTAAATATTTCCTCGAAGATTGTGTCGTAGAAAATGAACTATACTATAGACAATGAAACAACAATACTTATCATTCACTCATAATTTATATCGTTGAATCTTATCATGTCTATGTACGCTATTATTCTCATCAGTCTTTCCTCTCTTTATTTGTTTATTATAATTTTCGATAAAACATGACATACAATTCTAATAATATTAATTGCCAATTCATATTTAGGTAAACTTATATGAGAATCTGATTTACACTTGTAAATGATCTGAAGCAAAGTCAATATTAAGATCCACTTTGTATCTATTGTGCATACATCATTGCTGTGTCTGAAGCTTCATTTAATTATCCATTTTTATTACAAGCAATTCATAGATATATTATTATTGTTTCTCTAGCTCATTTATTTTATCGAGCAAAAAAAGTATAAGTTTCAATCAAACATGTATCTTGCCACTTAAGAATAAAACAGTCTCAGCCACACCCTCATTACACTTGTATTTTTCTGGTTGATAATGATCGAAAATTTTCGTTATTATTAATATTCACCTAATTTATTCTACATTTAGTTCGTTTGTTTGATATTGCATTAAATCTCATGTTCTTTACATTATTTTTATACATAAAAAGTATGGTATAAACTAAACACAAGAGAAACAAGATATTGAACAGTATTTACATGTGTTAATTTATTACAAAATCCTTAATATTTAATTTCAACTATATTTGAACATTAAAATAGAAAAAATATAACTTTAAAAGGAACTTTAGAATAAATTAGGATCTATTCCGAGTGATTTATTAATTTCCATAAACTGCATTTATAAAAGATCGTAAAGAATGAAGAAAATTATATCTTTCTCTTACATTTATCGGTTTTATCACTCGTTACAATTATGTCTCGACATGCTTTCTCTTCTTTCTCCTGTATCTCTTTTTCTTTCCATGCTTCTTTATTTTTTCTTTTTCTCTTTTCTGATATAACTTAAGTAGATATAGAATATTCAAAGTAGTTATAACTTGTTAACCTAATAAAGAAACAATAAAATATATATTAAAAAAAAATAATTTATTAATTTCCACATTAGAAATTGCTATTCAATGTATTTGTTTATCAATTTTACAATTATATCGAATTGGATCTTGTAGTTAAAGTTGATAGAATTTTTACTATTTTCGATGTTGAAATATCAATTATAATGGAAATAGAATCAAATTCTGATTAATATCAAAAACAAACATTCAATTCTTTGATTGTTTCACATCCTGATCGATCGATGTTGATTAATGATGATTCATCACCTGATTATGATTCTGTTAACACATAATTTTTCGTTAAAAATTCAATAAAAAATGTGTAAAAACTTATTTCTACGATTCGAATATTATTCATGAAAAAAAAAGAATTGAGATTAGTGACAAAGCATTGTAAAATAGTGATGACTTTCTAATGCATTGATGTGTTTCATGTTACAAAGAAAATATATGTGTAGAAACGAAAAAGAAAAGTAATGATAGAAGCCTTTCGAGAAGAGAAAAAAAACAGTTAGATGTTTTCACATGCACATGGTAGTTTCTTATTCTTAAATATTAATTCTAAACTTCTATACTTGACGAATGTTCTTCATATTAAGTAGATTTCAACGAACAAAATAATTTGAATACATTTATTTAAATTTTCAACCTGATCTAACCGATATATCGACTTTCATTGTAGATGTTTAGTTAAAAAACGAAACGATACAATGAATGATATTAGTGTAGAAACACATGAGTCAATCGATGCGGCAAGAATTGCATATTTAAAAGATCAAATGGATGTTGAAGATGAAGAATTAATTTATCTTAATCGTATTCTCAAACTTCAATATAAAAGACGAGAATTGATTCTTAATCGTAATACTCCATCAGTAATTATTGATGATTTTCTTTATCAAAGCGATATAAATGATGCTAGAAATATGAATTTATTGAATAAACTTGGTATTCAACATATTATTAATACATGTAATATTTCTTTACCGAAATTAATTACAGAAAAATTTAATGTTCTCTGGATTAATATAGTTGATGATTCGAATAAAAATATCGCACAATATTTTCATAAAACAAATGATTTTTTATCTTCATGTAAACAGAAAAATGAGAAAGTATTAGTTCATTGTCAAATGGGTATTTCTCGATCATCTTCAATTATTCTTGCTTATCTAATTAAGTAAGATTTAGATTTGATAAATGATGAAATTATTTCGTAATATGTTTTTCAAGATATCATCATGATACTTTATTTAATGCTTATGATAATTTACTCAATCGACATCCTTTTGCTGCACCTAATTATGGGTTTTTTATTCAATTAATTCGATATGAAAAAGAATTACATCAAATTCAAACTACATGATATTAAACATATTTTGTTTCAAAAAAAAAAAGATAATTTCATCTTTCGCTCGCAGATCTTTTTCCGCAATGGTCTATGCGTTCGGATGTATGGACATATATCAGTTAAATACCACTTAATCATTCACATCATCAAGATGACATTGGATATTGCTTCTTTTTGTTATTTCAAAAATCGACTTATACATAATTGCCGAACGGTTGGAAAAAATACTGAGCATCTGTTCAATATTATTTGCATTTACCATCTGCACGTCGATGTTTTTTTCTCTATTCTATCTAGGAACATTTTTGTTGTTGAATACATAAAAAATTGGATAGTAGATCGTATGGAGAAAGAAAATGAGACTATACTTGTTTTTTTAAGAAATAAAGGGAAATTACTCTTATTTATATAATAACAATTCATTCATTTGTATTGAGAAGGTAAGATTGCTTGACAATTAATTTATTGAATCATTCTTGAAAAGATCATGTAAAAATAAATAACAGCTATCTATAAAAGACTTTCAATAAGAATAGTGAATTATATATATATATCTGATTCGATTTTCTATTTGATTTACCGTTTAATACACGTGTATTTTTTCGAATATCTTTACTGTATCGATATATAACAGATGTGATCTATTTAGTCATATTTCCATTTTTGAGTAAAATGTAAACTGAGGGTATGGATATATCTACTCTCTCTTAGCCCACACTTTCAAAGGAAAAGACAGAGCATGTAACATTTAATGTCTGAGTATACATGCATTTTATGTATCAATTAGATCGATTTTATTACGACTTATTGTTAGAAAGTATTTACCAGTTCCATATATCTCATTTACCAAAGAAACTAAACTATTAGAAATTTCTTATACAGTATATTCCGTGAGTCACATAACAATAAAAAATAGGAATATCGTCATTATATTTACACCAAATAGGCTGATACTTTAAACACAAATAGAGAGAACGGTAATCTTTTACAAATAATAAGAAATCATCTAGTCATTTTCTTAACAAAACTTTGCTGTTTATGGTTGAAACTTTCAGATGAAAAGTTCTATAAATAGAACTACATTCTCACGTAAAATTGATTTTGTTTGTAATCAAATGTATCTAGTAGGTAAATTTTATATTACTGGTTTAAAGCGAAGGAAATTTCATATCCTGTAGAAATTACAATAGAATTTAATTTTTCATCACATTTACTCGCTGTTTATATATTTCGTCGTTGTATTCTGTTATCTATTTTGGTTGGCATTGCACTGAGAAATTTCTTATCTTTCGAGCTGTTTAAAAAATCTGTAATTCACTCATTACTCAAACAACTTTGTCCTAAAAAAAACTTCAAAAAAAAAATAATTTATTTTCATCTAGATTTTATTTAAAAAAATGTAATTATATATTTAGTCCTTATATATAAATAACTGAAATCCAATTGTTAATGATAATAATTATGTTTAAAAATGGAAATTTTATATTATTTTTTTGTCATCTAATTTAAGTCTTTATTAGATTGCATAATCTTGAATTTTGTTTTAGTTGATAGAGTCAAATATATTCTTTTGTAAGTATAACAATATACAATTTATTTTTTTTTAATATTCTTATTACTAAATAAAAGATAAATACATAGATAATATAGCAATGGCTACTATTTAAATGATCGGTACAATACTAGAAAGAGGTCTGTAAAAGAATATGTTTTCCCAGTAGAAATCTGAGTGAAAAATATCATGAAGTAAAGTCATGAATTTATTCATAAAGAAAAAAATTGAAAGAAATGCGGGTATTTTATTTCATCCACACCCGGGAGGTATCAAATTATGATTTTTCTTGTTTGTAGAATATGTAGATTAAAAGAAGTACGTCACAAGAATAAAGCACATATGTAGAACACTGAAAGATATTGAAGATATAGTAAAAGTAGAGCAGAAATGATTCATTCTATACTATTTAAATTTTCACACTGACTTTTCTATATAATTAACTGTCAAAAAATTGGATTTACTGATTTTTTAATTTATTTACGACGCCACGTAATTAATAACTGACAATTGAAATAATGTATTAACCATTCAATAAAACAACTGACTTTAGTTTCATTTTTTGACTAACGATTTCATTTATTATACTGAGCAAAAAGTAAATTCCCATTATTTTTTTATTAAAATTTCTATGAACTACTAAAAGATCAAAAGGAAGAATTCTATTTCCGTGATCATTTCTCTTCTAATTCATCAATTTTTAATTAATAATAAAAAAAAAAATAAAACATGCTGTATCCGACAGTTTCTATTAAAATTAAATCTGTTGATAGGTAAAACCAATATTTTACTGTTGTTGACAGATGAAAAATCTGTAGACTATTAATTAATAAATCAAGAATTAGATATTCTGTACTTGACACGACATATCATTTAAATACGCAAAAGAATGTAAGCCAACGTTTCAGTTATAGTATGACAGAAAGGTGAGATTCTGTGTTAATTATTTTTTTTTTGAAAGAACGTGTCGGTTGAAATAGTACTTATGGTAACAAGTAATGTATATTAACAGTTTAGAATCTAAATCTGAACTATTCGAAAAGTCTTTGCTTAAGACAATTAGGATATTATAAGGATAGATCAACTGCTTTTATATGAAAACATATCCTTTCCTAAATAGAGAACAAAAATAATGAGACATTTCATTTCTATGAACTGAATTGTGAAAATAGAACATGTATAATTTTATTGTTTAATCTGTCGTCTCTAGTACTCATTTAGCTTTTACGTCGAGGTTGAGTTAGTTCTTGATAATTGTCTCATCTGCAGAACTTCTTTTTTTTATAGATGATCACTTGAATGACGCATAACGAGTAGTATTTAAGATTCTTAAAAAAAATTTTAATGTTAAGATATCGTCTCTATATTTCTTTCCTATTCTATAAAACAATATTAATATTAACATATTTAACATGAACAATTTTGAGTTATTTTAATGCATCTCAAATGCTTTTATTCATTAAATCAATAAAATACTTTAATTTCACCCTCGCGTAATTTTAATTTATTTCCATAAAAAGTTTCAATTAAATTCGAAAAATCGGGTATAGGTATAGATACGAGTACATGAGGCAAACATAATGACATTTTTTAAAAATAAGTTGCAATGTTTATATGGTATATCAGTGAGTATGAGTAGCGGAGTTAGAACCGGACCGGACAAAACCGAACTTTTACCAGTTCATAAAATTAGAAAATTATGTTTGTATTTCAAATTTTTTTCTTACAAAACTAATCTTTATTTGTTTTTTTTTAAAATATCATCTTAGGAATTGTCATACGTATATGTTTTAGTTGAAAAAGAGCATGTGACAAAAATATTCGTATAAATTCATAGTTTTGCCGGAGTTTCGCCGGATGGGCGTCAAAAGAAAATCCGGCCGGATTTTTACCAGATTTTTGCCAGATTGACGTCAAAAAAAATCCGTCCGGAATCCGTCTGGTTCCAACTCTGATGAGTAGGTGTAAGAGAATATAATCTGTTAAGGCGAAAGTAATGAAGACAACTTATATATAGTTTTGTAAAAACAACTAATTATAATTCCGCTCACACCGTGTCTACGAGTATGCAGTATAAACGTATGAAAATAATATGTTAGCCCTATGTAGATATATTAATTTACATCAATTAATTCTATTTGTAGAACTACCATAAATAACATGGTTGACGTTGAAACAACAGCTATTACCGCTTCGTTTGTTATTTGGCACTGCGTCTTGTTATTCTTTGTTCTCGGTATAATTGGTCATTTGCTTAATTTCTACGTGCTCACTCGACGTAAACTTCGTTCGAGTCCATGCACTCTCTATTTTCTTGCAGCGACTGCGGCCGCCTGTGTTGTAGTATGGATTATGCTTCCTTGGCGTTTTCTACAATATGCTTATAATATTGAACCAGCTTATTATTCGTCAGCCATCTGCAAAATAGAATATTATTTGAATAATACGACTAGGTAAGAATAATTGAATTCTATCTACAAATAATATACCAACCTAGTGGGCTTTACTTAATTCAGTTCGAAAAAAAATTTTCTGTTTGTTAATTTTGATAAATTCTATATATTTTATAGAGCTATGGCTTCTTGGTTTCTTGGCTTAGCTTGTATGGATCGATATTTCTGCAGTTCAAGCAATGTTCGTATGCGTCACTTTAGTAGTGTACGCATGGCTCGTATTATTATAATATCATTCACTTTGGTCATGTTCATAATTCATATTCATGTACCTATCTACAATATCGTTGGTACTGGCCGTACACCCGTACCTTTTAGTCAAGTGTCAACAATATGTACTATTACAACCGGCTTTTATGCAACCTTTAGTCTCTATTGGTTTTTCATTGTCTATGCTTTCTCTCCACCTGTTATCATGCTTATTTTTGGTTTACTTACTTTATTCAATATTCATCAACGTCGTCGACAAATTCTACCCAATGCATCTGATATTAATAATCGCAAGAGAGAGAAAACTTCGAGACAAATGTTAATCATGCTCATTGTACAATGTACTTTCATAACTATTTGTACCATGCCAACAGCTTTACAACGCTTTTACACCTACTTTACGTCGACACAACAAAAGAGTACAACACAGAAAGCATTGGATCAGTTATTTCTTACTACTACCCTTGCACTTGGCTTTATTGGACATTCACTTACCTTCTATATGTTCACTCTTTCTGGATCCATGTTTCGAGATGAAGTTAAACAATTGATTACAAAAATTCCAGGATGCAAACGAGTCTTTGCTACAACGCGTACACAAACAACAACCAATGGGATGCTGCCAGTTTCACATGAACAAAGAAATCTGGCAACATTACGAAACTATCAAACAACCAGAGTAACAACAAATGCACTTATCAATGAATGATTCTAATAAATAACATTTCTTTTCTAAATATTTAAAATAGATGTTGTAATGTATTTGTTGTCATGTGACGTAAACTCATCATTTTATATGCAATAAAAGGGTATAGGTGTGGTGAGGGTTTAGATTCATTTTTTCTTAACTCACACACACACACATTTCCTTGGTAATGATGTTTATAAAGCTACTTCTTCTTCTGTAATGATTAATCAAAAGGTATAGGAAGTATTGTATCGTTATTTTATTTGGCTGTGTAGTTTAACAGAACAGAAAAGAAATAGTTGAAATAAATATGTGTATTGATGAAGCTGTGATTGAAAGAACAGAAAACAAAATCTATTCCATCTTACGATAAACATAATGGCTCTAGGATATAAATCTCAATAAATACTCTAAACAATTTTCATCCGAAAACTCAAGGACCTGTACAAGTTTAAATGAATGAATATTACATTCACATCACTTTTTGTTCGTATCGTTGGAATTTTCTTCTCTGCTAAATCCATTTGATCCAGAAGAGTATATCGACAGTTTCCTATCTTTGAATATCTTATCAAGAAACTTGATTGATAGCAAAAAATAAAGTCTTACATATTGACGTCTACTATCAGATGTTAGTATAAATCTAGATTTGTAAAATATCTACATTTACACCCACTGGGGGCATTTGCCTTTCTGAGAATGAGGAGTTAAATCAAACACTAAGAATCTTCTTGGAGAAGAATATTCTATATAAAATAGATTCAATCTCAATGAATCATCAACGAATACAAATGACCTTTCAGGTGAAAAATTGAGTTTTTCTTTTCTCTTTAATTTTATACGATTTATATAAAAAAAGTATAATCGTGGATAATTGTTCTTAAATATAAATAATTATGATTAATCACAATCACTTTTTCATTTACAGACTGGTTCCGATATTTAATATTTCTGTCAAGTTCATTTAGGAATGATTCATCTTTTGTATATGTACGTCAAACTTAATATTCTCATTTAATACTCACAAATAATTGTTTCTTATATTTTAATTAATTCATATGATGTATAAAATCTCCAAAATATTTTCGTCAAGAAAACAAAACGCGTTATTTTTATAATATCAATGAGTATTTTCGAATCGACATCAAACTTAAGCCTTGGTCAGGCGATATACATTTCTCGTTCAACAACTCAAATAATCGAATCAGTTTATGATAAAATAACTTATGGTGTGTATTCAATTATACTTATACTTAGTGTAATTCAAACATTTTGGAAAAATAAACGTATTAATCATCTATTGAGTTCTATAATCGAAGCTTATTCCGATGGGAAATTCGAATCTCATCAAGTTTGTTTGCGTCAACAAATTGTAACTTGTTACCGGTACGATAAACGTTTCTCTCATATTCCTCATCCAAATCGAATAATGTTATTTATAACTGCTATTCATATACAACTACTGATGTATATTGCAGTGACAACTTTATTAATTCGAACAACTATACTTGTGAATGATTGTAAATCACTTCAATTTCCATTGGAAGTTCTTCAATGTCAAAATAATCAAGATCCTTGTCCATCAAATGGAACAGAAACTGCTATACAATGTACATATTATTCATTTGAAATGACGAATATTATTACAATGGTAACATCTGTGATTAGTTGGCATTATGGTCTCCGTTATTTTGCTGTTAAATTAATCCGTTTCATTCGATGGACCTTATTTCATAATAATGATCGTCCACGAAAATTATTTTGTCGTTGTTGTCGAGCAACAACACGTCGTTTACGGTGTATCATGTATGTGGATTATACCATATTATGGATCTATCTTCTTACCACAGCTGTACTTGGTTTTGCTTATAATATAAGTATTTTTCAAATACCAGTTGCTTCGTTTGGTCCTGCATGGACACCCATACTTATGACAGTAGATAGAATATTTACGCTCAATACGGCATTAGTTCCTGAATTCTTACAGAATTGGTTAGATGTAACAGCAAATGGCGAAGTTTTACCAGTTTTGGAGTCAAAAGGATTACTTCTTAACGATGCTGAGCCACTTATATATTTAACTGCTAAGAAAAACAAAACTTCTGCATCAAGTACAAACAAACTATGTCATAGCAATATTGTTGAATGAACATGTCATACATAATCATTTACTAACTGATGAACGTCGTTGTTTCACGAAAAACAGAAGGATATTGAGCACATTAAGAACAATTACAGAAATATTTCAAATATTTTGAGGAAAAAAACCAATAGAAACAACATGAAAATTGAATTTTGTCACAAATGAAAAGAAGTGTTGATAATCAATTGAGCTCTAACAGATGTCATAAAGGGTGGTTGTGGGTGTGGATGTAGTTACGCAGCTAAGACATCACTCACATCCTCAGATGATCGCATGAAAAGAAAGTCAAATAAACGTTATGTATTGAAAATAAAAACAATAGATAAATATTACGACTCATTCGAAGTTCTCGTAAAAATTATTTAAGTTTTAAAAAAAAAGAATTTTTTTATGTTGATTTATAACAATAATTTCTTTTTAGACTTTTCTGTGAGTTTTTAAATAATCGTAAACGATTGACAAACAAACTAAACAAATATCATTAACGGCATTGCCTATTGCTATTGATAGTATTAATATTAATAATAAATTAAATCACGGAGTCGTGATGAATAATTATAGTTGTATTATTGTTGTTTTAATAGTAAATCGCTTTCTAGTAATGTTCTCTCTTTCTGTCGCTCAGTCCTTTTTGTAATTTAGCTATTCATCATATAATCAAGACTAACCACAATTCAAACATGAATTATATCTAAAGATATCTAGTACGAATTAAAATCATAAGTATGATTTGTGGTAACTGGAATTAGACTTATGGTTTGTTCTTTTTTCTTTTGATTTTACTCAGTATATGGAGTAGATATGTTTAAGACAAGAATAAAAATCGAATAGTTAAGTGTGTAACATGATCATAAACTGTCTTTTTTATATGCTACATAATTCATCGTGATGTGTTAAGTTTTTTCTTTTTGCTCTTTTATAAAAATATCTTATAGTTC